TTAACATCTTAAGGTACCAAATGAGGATAACAACTGTTCTGAACAAAGGACCCTTATAATACACAGCTTGAACCTACTGAAGAAATACACATCTTAAAGTACCAAATGAGGACAATAACTGTTCTGAACAAAGGACCCTTATAATACACAGCTTGAACCTACTGAAGAAATAAACATCTTAAAGTAACAAATGAGGATAACAACTGTTCTGAACAAAGGACTCTTATAATACACAGCTTGAACCTACTGAAGAAATACACATCTTAAAGTACCAAATGAGGACAATAACTGTTCTGAACAAAGGACCCTTATAATACACAGCTTGAACCTACTGAAGAAATAAACATCTTAAAGTAACAAATGAGGATAACAACTGTTCTGAACAAAGGACCCTTATAATACACAGCTTGGACCTACTGAAGAAATTTAACATCTTAAAGTACCAAATGAGGATAACAACTGTTCTGAACAAAGGACCCTTATAATACACAGCTTGGACCTACTGAAGAAATTTAACATCTTAAGGTACCAAATGAGGATAACAACTGTTCTGAACAAAGGACCCTTATAATACACAGCTTGGATCTAATGAAGAAATTAAACATCTTAAAATACCAAATGAGGATAACAACTGTTCTGAACAAAGGACCCTTATAATACACAGCTTGGACCTACTGAAGAAATTTAACATCTTAAAGTACCAAATGAGGATAACAACTGTTCTGAAAAAAGGACCCTTATAATACACAGCTTGAACCTACTGAAGAAATAAACATCTTAAAGTACCAAATGAGGACAATAACTGTTCTGAACAAAGGACCCTTATAATACACAGCTTGAACCTACTGAAGAAATAAACATCTTAAAAGTAACAAATGAGATTAACAACTGTTCTGAACAAAGGACCCTTATAATACAAAGCTTGGACCTACTAAAGAAATACACATCTTAAAGTACCAAATGAGGATAACAACTGTTCTGAACAAAGGACCCTTATAATACACAGCTTGAACCTACTGAAGAAATAAACATCTTAAAGTACCATATGAGGATAACAACTGTTCTGAACAAAGGACCCTTATAATACACAGCTTGAACCTAGTGAAGAAATACACATCTTAAAGTGCCAAATGAGGATAACTATATACTGTTCTGAACAAAGAACCCTTATAATACACAGCTTGAACCTACTGAGGAAATACACATCTTAAAGTACCAAATGAGGATAACAACTGTTCTGAACAAAGGACCCTTATAATACACAGCTTGGACCTACTGAAGAAATTTAACATCTTAAAGTACCAAATGAGGATAACAACTGTTCTGAAAAAAGGACCCTTATAATACACAGCTTGAACCTACTGAAGAAATAAACATCTTAAAGTACCAAATGAGGATAACAACTGTTCTGAACAAAGGACCCTTATAATACACAGCTTGGACCTACTGAAGAAATTTAACATCTTAAGGTACCAAATGAGGATAACAACTGTTCTGAACAAAGGACCCTTATAATACACAGCTTGGACCTACTGAAGAAATTAAACATCTTAAAATACCAAATGAGGATAACAACTGTTCTGAACAAAGGACCCTTATAATACACAGCTTGGACCTACTGAAGAAATTTAACATCTTAAAGTACCAAATGAGGATAACAACTGTTCTGAAAAAAGGACCCTTATAATACACAGCTTGAACCTTCTGAAGAAATAAACATCTTAAAGTACCAAATGAGGATAACAACTGTTCTGAACAAAGGACCCTGATAATACACAGCTTGAACCTAGTGAAAAAATAAACATCTTAATGTACCAAATGAGGATAACAACTGTTCTGAAAAAAGGACCCTTATAATACACAGCTTGGGCCACTGAAGAAATTTAACATCTTAAGGTACCAAATGAGGATAACAACTGTTCTGAACAAAGGACCCTTCTAATACACAGCTTGAATCTACTGAAGAAATTTAACATCTTAAAGTACCAAATGAGGACAACAACTGTTCTGAACAAAGGACCCTTATAATACACAGCTTGAACTTACTGAAGAAATACACATCTTAAAGTACCAAATGAGGATAACTATATACTGTTCTGAACAAAGGACCCTTATAATACAAAGCTTGGACCTACTGAAGAAATAAACATCTTAAAGTACCAAATGAGGATAACTATATACTGTTCTGAACAAAGGACCCTTATAATACACAGCTTGGATCTACTGAAGAAGTACACATCTTAATGTACCAAATGAGGATAACAACTGTTCTGAAAAAAGGACCCTTATAATACACAGCTTGGACCTACTGAAGAAATTTAACATCTTAAGGTACCAAATGAGGATAACAACTGTTCTGAACAAAGGACCCTTATAATACACAGCTTGGACCTACTGAAGAAATTTAACATCTTGAAGTACCAAATGAGTATAACAACTGTTCTGAACAAAGGACCCTTATAATACACAGCTTGAATCTACTGAAGAAATACACATCTTAAAGTACCAAATGAGGACAACAACTGTTCTGAACAAAGGACCCTTATTATATACAGCTTGAACCTACTGAAGAAATAAACATCTTAAAGTACCATATGAGGATAACTATATACTGTTCTGAACAAAGGACCCTTATAATACACAGCTTGGACCTACTGAAGAAATTTAACATCTTAAGGTACCAAATGAGGATAACAACTGTTCTGAACAAAGGACTCTTATAATACACAGCTTTGACCTACTGAAGAAATTTAACATCTTAAAGTACCAAATGAGGACAACAACTGTTCTGAACAAAGGACCCTTATAATACACAGCTTGAATCTACTAAGAAATACACATCTTAAAGTACCAAATGAGGATAACAACTGTTCTGAACAAAGGACCCTTATAATACACAGCTTGGACCTACTGAAGAAATACACATCTTAAAGTACCAAATGAGGATAACAACTGTTCTGAACAAAGGACCCTTATAATGCACAGCTTGAACCTACTGAAGAAATAAACATCTTAAAGTACCAAATGAGGATAACAACTGTTCTGAACAAAGGACCCTTATAATACACAGCTTGGACCTACTGAAGAAATAAACATCTTAAAGTACCAAATGAGGACAACAACTGCTCTGAACAAAGGACCCTTATAATATACAGCTTGAACCTACTGAAGAAATAAACATCTTAAAGTACCAAATGAGGATAACTATATACTGTTCTGAACAAAGGACCCTTATAATACACAGCTTGGACCTACTGAAGAAGTACACATCTTTAAGTACCAAATGAGGATAACAACTGTTCTGAAAAAAGGACCCTTATAATACAATGCTTGGACCTACTGAAGAAATTTAACATCTTAAAGTACCAAATGAGGACAACAACTGTTCTGAACAAAGGACCCTTATAATACACAGCTTGAATCTACTGAAGAAATACACATCTTAAAGTACCAAATGAGGATACCAACTGTTCTGAACAAAGGACCCTTATAATACACAGCTTGGACCTACTGAAGAAATACACATCTTAAAGTACCAAATGAGGATAACAACTGTTCTGAACAAAGGACCCTGATAATACACAGCTTGAACCTAGTGAAAAAATAAACATCTTAAAGTACCAAATAAGGATAACAACTGTTCTGAACAAAGGACCCTTATAATACACAGCTTGGACCTACTGAAGAAAAACACATCTTAAAGTATCAAATGAGGATAACAACTGTTCTGAACAACGGACCCTTATAATACACAGCTTGAACCTACTGAAGAAATAAACATCTTAAAGTACCATATGAGGATAACAACTGTTCTTAACAAAGGACCCTTATAATACACAGCTTGGACCTACTGAGGAAATACAAATCTTAAAGTACCAAATGAGGATAACAACTGTTCTGAACAAAGGACCCTTATAATACACAGCTTGGACCTACTGAAGAAATAAACATCTTAAAGTACCAAATGAGGATAACAACTGTTCTGAACAAAGGACCCTTATAATACACAGCTTGGACCTACTGAGGAAATACACATTTTAAAGTACCAAATGAGGATAACTATATACTGTTCTGAACAAAGGACCCTTATAATACACAGCTTGGACCTACTGAAGAAATACACATTTCAAAGTACCAAATGAGGATAACTATATACTGTTCTGAACAAAGGACCCTTATAATACACAGCTTGGACCTACTGAAGAAATACACATCTTAAAGTACCAAATGAGGATAACAACTGTTCTGAACAAAGGACCCTTATAATACACAGTTTGGATCTACTGAAGAAATACACATCTTAAAGTACCAAATGAGGATAACAACTGTTCTGAACAAAGGATCCTTATAATACACAGCTTGGACGTACTGAGGAAATACAAATCTTAAAGAACCAAATGAAGATAACAACTGTTCTGAACAAAGGATCATTATAATACACAGCTTGGACCTACTGAAGAAATTTAACATCTTAAAGTACCAAATGAGGACAACAACTGTTCTGAACAAAGGACCCTTATAATACACAGCTTGGACCTACTGAAGAAATAAACATCTTAAGGTACCAAATGAGGATAACAACTGTTCTGAACAAAGGACCCTTATAATAAACAGCTTGGACCTACTGAAGAAATACACATTTTAAAGTACCAAATGAGGATAACTATATACTGTTCTGAACAAAGGACCCTTATAATACACAGCTTGGACCTACTGAAGAAATACACATCTTAAAGTACCAAATGAGGATAACAACTGTTCTGAACAAAGGACCCTTATAATACACAGCTTGGACCTACTGAAGAAATTGAACATCTTAAAGTACCAAATGAGGACAACAACTGTTCTGAACAAAGGACCCTTATAATACACAGCTTGGACCTACTGAAGAAATACACATCTTAAAGTACCAAATGAGGATAACAACTGTTCTGAACAAAGGACCCTTATAATACACAGCTTGAACCTACTGAAGAAATACACATCTTAAAAGTATTCACCTGTTCCTTTTATGTCAATGCTTTGCCTCATCACTTTCCATCCCTTATGAGGTCTCGGGATACTGGATACAGAAAGAGTTACTCTAGCTGGATACTGTGATTTTACACAATTGAACTGAAACACAGAATCCTGAAATATTAAAGAAAAAGGATTTCATGTATGTATCAAAATAAGTTGTAGTATGAAATACCTCAGTTAAGCTAAAAGTTGGGGACTATATTTTCAGACAACAAAAATCCAAGTTAGACAATCCTATTCTCAGACCACTTAAAGTGATATGAACTGTACTTTGAACACTAGGTCACCAAGATTCTCCATTAAGACTTTGATGGTTTTCATTTAAGCTTTATCATTAAGAATTTTTTTCTGGCATTTAACATTTTAATGGATGTGAACTTTATTCATATTTTTTAATGATTTCAAAAAAACCCACATTAAGACTGATAAAAGATGACATATTGATTGAAGCTTCAGTGTTATCTCAGAAGATATAAATCCATAGACATTTATGCATATCTTGATTATATATTCATTATGATTCAGTATTCATTGAAGAATATATCTGATATTAAAACACAGCAGTGATTTTTTAATTTATCAATTGACATACACTGTACCATGTTGTATTCATTGAATATTTTAACATCACTCTATGCTATTAGCAGAAATCAATAAAATTTAAAACAAGATATTGTATAATGGATTTTTTCTTCTTCTTTTTACTAAAGAAAATCTCTTAAAAACCAGGACAAGTAAATTCATCATGTCTTTCTCCCATCAAACAGGAACATATAAAAAACATCTTTCATGTTAACCAAGAACTAAGGCCTTAAAAAATGAGAAAAAAGTCTTTTTGATCACTTTTTATTACAAAATTCTCTTTCTGAATTAAGTACATGAACTCAACAATAACAAGTCTTCTGATCATAAGTAACATTTGTTTCTTATTCTTCTATTATATGTGCTACAACTTGGTGTGAACACTATGAACTCATCTACAAGGATTAAATAAAATATTGTGCTTTTGTTAAAAAAGAAATTAACTTAATACTAAATTTGTTGACATGAATAATATTTCAAGTTAGGCCATATAAAATCTGGAAGATCTTATTAATATTATTTTCTTAAAAAACTCAGGTGATCAATTTCTCAACCTTCGATCTTAGTTGATTTTATTTTGCAAGTCTTAAAGATAAAGGTTTTAATACAAGTATCACAGAATCCTAACATAATCAATGATCCATGACAATGAGGTAAAGGTAAGATAAACCCTGCCAGACAGACATTAACACTTTACAATCATTCCATACACCTAATTTAGTTGACCTATTGCTTATAGTATCCAAGTAACAGACAAAACCATGAAAACAACATTTACCAATCAATCATGAAAATGAGGTCAAAGTCCAATGATAATGCCAGACAGACAATTACACTTAACAATAATTCCATACACCAAATATAGTTGACCTATTGCTTATAGTACCAAACCATGAAAACTTAACATTGACCAATGGGCCATGAAAATGAGATCAAGGTCAGATGAAACCTGCCAGACTGACATGTACACCTTACAATCATTCCATACACCTAATTTAGTTGACCTACTGCTTATAGTATCTGAAAACCTAATCACCTAACTTTAACCTTGATCAGTGATTTATGAAATGAAGTTAAGGTCAGGTGAACCCTGTCTGATGGACATATAGACATTGCAAGGAACCCATATACTAAATATAGTTTATTATTCATAATAAGTGAGAAATTCACATGACAAAACACTATTCATTTGATATGACAGAAGGAAACTTCATTACATAAGGCAGGGGCGTAGCTACCCGGAGGCACGACAGCACGTGCATCCACGTCATTTTCACTATAAAAAAAAGAAAGAAAGGAGAGAGAGAGAGAGAGAGAGATGAATTGGTCAATCGGAATCGGACAGAGTGATTCATCTATTATCTATTATGAACATGATATTTGTTAAACGTTCGGAGACTGTTTGTGTCTTTTCCATGCCGAGAGCTGCCGGTAGACAGCGACATCGCGTAAATGTACCAGCTGAAACGCCCAGTCAGTACTGGAAACGTGCAATGCTTCTACCATTTCTTGATTACCTGATACAAGAACTTACACGCAGATTGGTTTCTAACGAAGAGCGGTTTTCTGCCCAGTATTTGATATCAACAAAGCCAAATAGGATTAATTAGGAAGCAATCAACATATTATTTGAGACATATATAAATAACCTTACTGTTAACAATGTTGTACTATTTCGCGAGGAAGTTGAATGATGGATTGTAAGGTGGGATATAGCAGCGGACCCAAAGCCATCCTGCCAGTGACAAACAGTGACCTATATCCAAACATTTACATTTGTCTGCTGATTCTAGTAACAATGCCGGTGACAACAGCAACAGCAGAGAGAAGTTTTAGCGTAATGAGAAGAGTGAAAACTTATGTCCGCTCTAATATGCTTAGAGAAAGACTTTCTTCTGTCCATCTTCATGCATACAGGCATTGGGAAATTGATATTGAAAAGTTATTGACGCATTTGCTGTTAAGAAGAAACGTCGTTTGGGATTCCTTTTTTCTGACCAGAATTAATATGACTTCAAGTTTGAAATTCAAAAGATTGAATCATTGTTTTGATATGTTTAGGCTAACAGAAACTCCACATACTATAGTATTGTGTTTATGTTTATGATTATGTTTTTTTATACATCTTTGCTTACATCAACTTCATTTGAACTTTAAATAAAATGCTCCGCAGGGCGCAGCTTGATACGACCGCAGAGGTCGAACCCTGAACAGTTGGGGGAAGTATGGACACAACATTCAAGCTTGATACAGCTTTGGATTTGGATTGTGATTAAATATTTGACACAGCATAGGTTTCTGACACAGATTGAATGTGGTCTAAGAACTTAAAAATTTTAAATTGGACATTCACCTATTATGGTCCAATATCCAAAATCTAAATACATGGTTAGATTCAGCATATCAAAGAACCCCAAGAATTCAATTTTTGATGAAATCAAACAAAGTTTAATTTTGGACCCTTTTGACCTCAATGTGGACAAAGTTGATAACGGGGCCCAAAAATCAAAAATCTAAATACATGGTTAGATTCAGCATATCAAAGAACCCCATATATTCAATTTTTGTTGAAATCAAACAAAGTTTAATTTTGGACCCCGATTTGGACCAACTTGAAAACTGGGCCCATAATCAAAAATCTAAATACATGTTTAGATTCAGCATATCAAAGAACCCTAAGAATTCAATTTTTGTTAAAATCAAACTAAGTTTAATTTTGGACCCTTTGGACCTTAATGTAGACCAATTTGAAAACGGAACCAAAAATTAAGAATCTAAATACACGGTTAGATTCGGCATATCAAAGAACCCCAATAATTCAATTTTTGATGAAATCAAACAAAGTTTAATTTTGGACCCTTTTGACCTCAATGTGGACAAAGTTGATAACGGGGCCCAAAAATCAAAAATCTAAATACATGGTTAGATTCAGCATATCAAAGAACCCCATATATTCAATTTTTGTTGAAATCAAACAAAGTTTAATTTTGGACCCTGATTTGGACCAACTTGAAAACTGGGCACATAATCAAAAATCTAAATACATGTTTAGATTCAGCATATCAAAGAACCCTAAGAATTCAATTTTTGTTAAAATCAAACTAAGTTTAATTTTGGACCCTTTGGACCTTAATGTAGACCAATTTGAAAACGGAACCAAAATTTAAGAATCTAAATACACGGTTAGATTCGGCATATCAAAGAACCCCAATAATTCAATTTTTGATGAAATCAAACAAAGTTTAATTTTGGACCCTTTGGACCTCAATGTGGACCAATTTAAAAACGGGGCCCAAAATCCAAAGACTAAATACAAGGTTAGATTCAGCATATTAAAGAACCCCATGAAATCAAGAATAAAACCCCATTGAAATTGGTCAAGAAATAAGCAATTTATAGGAAGTATCTTCTTTTGCACAATCCTGTGCTATTAAATATTTCTTGCTATTGCGCAATACTGTACAATTGACAATTTCTTGCTATTGCGCAATATTGTGCTATCGGATATTTCTTGCTATTGCGCAATACTGTGCAATTGAAGATTTCTTGCTATTGCGCAATACTGTGCAATTGAAGATTTCTTGCTATTGTGCAATACTGTGCAATTGAAAATTTCTTGCTATTGCACAATACTTATTATATAATAATTTACACATCCTGTTTGGTGTGTATCTCCTACCATATCATTATTATTTGATTTTAAATATAAATCAGAAATAACCAACTTAAAATGGAAAATTTTAAAAGAAACAAAAAAGGAAAAAAAAATAAATCCCCCCCCAAATTTTTTGAACCCCCATTATGATTCATCACCCCCAAACTCAATCCCAGCCTTCCCTTAGTGGTATGGTACCTTGCAGTACAATTTCAGAGAGATCCATACACTTGAACACAAGTTATTGTCTGGAAACTAGAAAAAAATGTGTTTTTTGGCCCCTTTTTGGCCCCAAATTCCTAAACGCTTAGGGCAATTACCCCCAAACTTAAACCCAGCTTTCCCTTTGTGATATGGAACCTTGTAGTACAATTTCAGAAAGATCCATACACTTACACACAAGTTATTGTCATGAAACTAGAAAAATGCTTGTTTTTTGCCCCTTTTTTGGCCCCTAATTCCTAAAATTTGGAGGCAATTACCCCCAAAATCAATCCCAGCATTCCTTTAGTGATATGGAACCTTCTGGTACAATGTCAGAGAGATCCATACACTAACACACAAGTTATGTCTGGAAGTTACAAAAATGCTTATTTTTGGCCCCTTTTTGGCCCCTAATTCCTTTACTGTTATTACCATAAACCCCAAAATCAATCCCAACCTTCCTTTTGTGGTATTGAACCTTGTGGTAAAATTTCATAAAGATCCATTCACTTAAACTAAAGTTAGAGTGCGAAAACCAATGTGTCTTCGGACGACGCCGGACGACGACGACGCCAACGTCATACCAATATACGACCACAAAAATTTTTTTGCGGTCGTATAAAAATTGCTTACATACACTTCCATTTACACTTTGGTGGATAGTTGTCTCATCGGCAATCATACCACATCTTCTTATTTTTATATCTACTTTGTTCAATACAAATACTTATATATGGAACAAATCTCCGTGATTTTAAAAGCTCTCAGGGCGTACAAAAAACACCCAAAAAACCATGTTTTAAAAGTCTTCATTCGACTCGAACATTTCGAAGTTAAACAAATAATTGACAAAAAAAACACAACAAAAATGTACAAATTTTAATATGGTCGTAACTGTTTTAAAACGCTATCTATATATGCTGAGCGTCCGGGGGGCTTTGCCCCCCTGGTCCCACTGGAGGCCTTGCGCGGCCCCCAGACCCCTCGCCCTTTGGTTTGTGATTCCACTTCATTAACAGAGGCTACGCCCCTGTAAGGCATCTTCTACTTCAAGAAATAGAGAGCTTTATACAAATATTTTACTCCCACAATGGATTGTAATCCCTATGTCTGGCAAGACAAAAAAATAAACAATGTTCTGGCCTATCAATGTGTTAAAATGTCCTTACAATCATTCATCATTTCAGTGAGGGTATTATATCTGAAAACAGTTTCAAGGTCAAATAATATTGTAGGGTTATTACATGAATAATAGGGAATATTGTCCAGAGTAGATTTTTATAATTGCAAGACATTATATTCACTAATATTCGAGAGAAAAAACTTTTATTGTAAAGCAAACCTTGAAAAAATGTTTATAATATTAAAATCATTTTTTAAACAGACAAAACATGTTATGCTAGTAAGTACAAATTGAAAAGAACCAGTGTTCAAACTTCCAAGTTTGCCTTATACTTTGACACCCACTTAAAGAAATAGTTCAACAACTTTTCTGAATGGTCCATAAGTAACCTGTTGCAAGGCAATATTTTTGACTTATTTCCAATAGCAGCTAAAATTTCCAGAATATACACTTTTCACGACCTAACTAACCAATTTATCTCAAACCAGAATATGTACGAAATATATTAGCTGCGGAACCGTAGCTGAAAGGTCCTTATGATATTTTTTTAACAATTTGTGGACCCCTAAGGACCTTTGAGCTACGGTTCCCCATGAAATATATGTAACCTTTTAAGCAAACAACACTCAATCAATCATCTGATGAATAAACAACACTTACAGAATATGATAATAACACTTTACAAATATGTGCGTCTGAAATGCTATTAGGGATTTACCTTCATGACGAAATAGTCAAACCATCAAATTTTTAAATTTAAATACATCAAGAGCTATTTGACCTACTGGTAATCAAATTTTAAATAAATCGCCAAATCTATCTAAGGTTAACTTTGACTGAGGGAGTAGGAACCTTAGTTTCTAAATAATTATTAAATTTGTTCAGCAGAGGAATTTTAGGAAAGTTATGTTATAAATCATGTCAGCAGCAAAGCACTGACTATTGAGCTGATGATAATCTCAGGGACTAAGAGTCCACCAGCAGATGTATTACAAAAGGAAACAGATCAATTAACATTTCTTTTGACTTATTCACGTTTACTTTTATTTTTGGGACCTTTCAGAGCAAGTCAAATAGTACGAGCCTTTACTGCTCATATTTTGAAGGATATACATGAGCTATTTATTAGCTTTCTTACGTAAGCATGTGGTGATTCTGTCCATGAGCTGTTGGTAAAATTTAAGTAGAAACACCATGGACTTCCTGCAACAAAAGTTCCCTTGAAGTCTTCAAATGTTGTTATTCTCAAAAGAAATCCTTTCAAGGAGTGGATGGAAGCTGAAATAAAAAAGAGCATGTTTTAATTGGCTTTTTCAAAATATTTGTGAAAAAAAATAATATTAATCATACTGTTTCTTTGAGAATTTCACAAGGGTTAAAAGTATAATACAACAGCTGTAGTTTAGCTTTAGCATCAAGTTAATTCACCCTGATGGCTGAATACTCTAATATAATAAAGCCTGTTTGACTTTGTAGTATAATCATGCAGCATCCGATTCAATTAAATTCCATCCAAACTAGTCCCATGTTTTATGACAATTTTCTACTGGTAATTGTTGATGACATAATTTTTCCTAAATAAAATTGCATTCTGTTGTCAAGTTAAAATACCATAAATATGCTTTTACTATTTTAACTCAGACTTCATGTAGGCCAATGTCAAAATCTGATCCAGCAGAACAGTTTTTTTTACCAGGAAAAAATCATCCAAGGGTTGAAAGACATCATTATGTAAATATTAAAACTTAAAACTTGTAAGTATATCTTCCATAGAAGAAATGTTCCGCCTGATTTCTTTTTTCACTCACTAAACACATTTTGTATACTAGATATCACTTATATTTAGCAATGGCAATGTCCATGTTTTGCCATGCAGAATTCTAAAGATCAGTCTGAATAAAAAAACAGAAAAAGAATATACATGTTGATATCATATATTTGAATAATACATTAAAATGGATAACAAGACTAACCAAAATTATTAATAATACAACAGACAACTTCAACCACCTACTACAAACTTACAAAGACAAACACCACATGGTTAAAAGACTTGAAAGCAGCATAAAATTTAGTAAGGTTAAACCAGTTATTATGTACACACAAACCTCAGCCTTTTATGTGATCTAGTGATCACAGATACCCCTGCTTACATAAAAACTTTTTAACAGTAAATGCCGAACCCAAATTAAGATTGAATGTGAACTGTATGTTTCATAAAAATGTGTTAAAATCTAAAAAGATTTCATAAATAATACTTTTATTATCAAATAGAAAAAAAATAAATTTAAAGGTAACTATATGGGGAATAACTCTTTCAACGGTACATGTAAAAAAATCTAACTTGACATTATCAATGATCCATGACAATAAGGACAAGGTCAGATGAACCTTGCCAGACAGACATGTACACCTTACAATCCCAATTTTTTCAATAACTGTAGTTGTTTTAATATTATATTTCATGCAGTGCATTAAAGTATCTTAATTCTATTTTTCAGTGCTGTAGTGTACCTTAATTCCATTTTTCATTTTCTAAAATTCCTTAACAATCTGTCTGAGACATGCTGAGGAAACCTTGCAGCTTATATCAATTTCAAAATTTCAATAATTTTTTTTATATTTCAACCAATAAGTATTAACTTCCTGCTTATGAAAGATATATATATAATGATGGAGCCATAATTTTGAAACCTTATAAAGCAAGTTGCATTTGTGGTATTGTATCATTTGAGATACATTATCAGTCTTTTTGAAACATAAAACGTATCCATCGTATTTCTGATCAGTCTTTTCAAAGAAGAATTTTTTAGGTTTATCTGTTGTATTTTAAATTAGTTTATACTTAAGGCAACAATAATTCGTTACATTTTTCAACTTCCTCCGCTTGGGATCAGATGTCTATGAATGATGGTTATTGACCTATCTTTTCATTTTAAAGACTAGTACAGAAAGACCATTTACTGTCTGTCAAACATCCCTAGAACAACTGACCCAGTGACATCTGTCATTTTTTTGTCAATGAATAAAACAGGACTTGAATGTAATGGTACTGGAAGCAAAAATCTGTAAGACAGATAATAACTTTAGTGTCAATTAAATTGACAGAGCATGCTCCAAGTATTCATTATGTTGTTTGTCATCATTTTTTGGGAGACACAATTAAAATAAGCATTGTTGCTTGTTTTTGAATCGTATCGTTTATAATGTATTATCTTATGTAGCAATATTTGATTTATTGAATAAAATATTGTTTAAACCCACTATAGTGCCTAGAAGACCAATATTAACGGAAAAATAATAACCATTCAAGGTCAAAAGATAAATTAACCAAGATTCAAGAAAACTTAAAATTCTTAATTTACTATTTCAGAGTAAAGTTTTATTTTTTTATAACTAGCATAGAAAACTTAATGCATGAAGCTTAGAAAATAATTGGGCTCAGCCTATGCAAGGATTCAAATACACATCTTTAATAAGACGTTTTCCAAAAATGGAGAAGGAATTATAAAGAAGTAAGATTTGTCTCAAGAAAGTAGTTCTAATGCCCAAATCTTCACACCTCTAAAATGTACATGACTTTTTAGAGTCAAATCTGGACAGATTGATTCTGAAACACCTTTTTTTTAAGATTGAAAACATGACCCTACTGTGTGCATATATAAATCTCCTTGATCTCTTTCATTTCCATTGAACAGAATTCCTTATAACAATAGGATTTATTTTCTATTACCAAACTACCAAAAGGTATTTAAATTCAGACATGAAGATATGAAGCTACACCAACACATATTTCTTGTAAAACAATATTTGCATTCAGAATTTCATGTTCACAGTGTAGCTGACCTTTTTTTTTCTAATTAAATCTTACTATATATATGCAGGCTTATGAATAAGTCTTAAAACCTATTAACATATAGATTGGTACCAAAGTAGATCAAAGATCATCCTATCAATTAGCTATTCATGACTATACATAAGGAGTTTCTGAACTTAAAGCACTTTTTAATGATTCTCAAGTGCATGTCTTTATAACTTTTACACAGGATGATAAGCTATGTCATGTTTTCAATTGATATAATAACCAATCTAAAGTTTTAGATGCTGCAATTGACAGTGCTGTTAGTTAAGCCACAGCTTCTATGTCAGTGCTATACAGTTGGTCTTAAAAGAGAAACATATGAAGAATCTGTAATGCATAAAACTTGGATACTAAAAAGAAAAATCTCAGAATTAACTTTTCTTCTTTATAAACCAATCTAAAGATTTGAATGCTGCGAGTCCTGTTAGTTAAGCCACAGTTTCTCTGTCACTAATAACTACCATCTAAATGTCTTCAGATATATAAATAATAACAAAATTCCGGAAATATGAGTTAATGTATTAATTCGAAATCAGGCATCATCACAGTATGATCATTGTGTTCCAAGTTGTATTATTATGAAACTATTTCTAACCATCATATGGTGGTTTCCATGAAAACTGAGCCTGAGTTTCATTCTTCACTTGTGTAACCTTTGCGTTTATCTCCCTTGGTGGTCCTGGCCATTGCTTCCCATGAATGGCTGAAAAAGAGAATCATAATCAAAAGTTGTCATTTTATACACAGAAATTCAGAAACAAAATGTTAAGGCATGATGACACCCTGAAATATTCAATAAGTTTTAAATTGTAGTTGCTCACTTGAAATTTCCTGAAACATGTCCTATTACTGGCTATCAATACCTCTAATACAACAGGTAACACAGATCAAAATCTACTGTACAAAGTAGCAAAAAACAAGAATGTGTCCATAGTACATGGATGCCCCACTCACACTATCATTTTCTATGTTCAGTGGACCTTGAAACTGAGGTCAAAGCTCTAATTTGGCATACAAATATGAAAGATCATATCATAGGGAACATGTGTAATAAGTTTCAAGTTGATTGGACTTCAACTTCATCAAAAACTACCTTGACCAAAAACTTTAACCTGAAGCGACCAAAAACTTTAACCTGAATTTTTATATGTTCAGTGGACTGTGAAATTGGGGTCAAAACTCTAATTTGGCATTAAAATGAGAAAGATCATATCATAGGGAACATGTGTATTAAGTTTCAATTTGATTGGACTTTAACTTCATCAAAAACTACCTTGACCAAAAACTTTATCCTGAAAAACTTAACCCCGAAAAACTTTAACCTGAAATGGGAAAAACGGACGGAAATACAAACGAACGAACGGACACACAGATCAAAAACATAATGCCCATAAATGGAACATAAAAATGTTTTGAATGGCATTGGGGAACACAGATCCTATTGTGAATGCTGTAATGATAGTTAGTAATAGATTATGTTAAATAGAATAGACAATCCTGATTTCAAATCTGTTCAAATTTGATCTGTGTTTTGTGGTAATAATCATTGTGTATAAGATTCATAACATTTGGTTGAGGTAAACTAAAGTAAAAGAATTGAAACGAAAAATTCAGCAATTTTTCCATTTGTAAAGGGGCATAACTCTTGAACATTAAAAGTGATGCCCCTGAAATTCTAACTTGATCTGTGTTTTGTGATAATAAGCATTGAGTATAAGTTTCAGAACATATGGTTGAGGCAAACTAAAGTTAGAGAATGGAAACCAATTTCATGACGTACGGACATACAGACGGAAAACAGTATCGAAGAATGATCAGATACTTAAAACAAGCTATAAATAGCGAAATCCACAAATAAAATGCAAATTAAATATAACACCAGTTTCAACTTGATAATGAAAATATTTAAGATAACAAAATCAAGCTATACCAGTATATCCAATTGAATAAATGAAAGAAAAGTGGTATTGCATTTTAATAGAACCAACTATAAATGCATACTGTATTTCAGACTATCTAAGTAAATCTCTGATTAACTGTCACCAAAGCTGATTTCCAGAAGTGCTGAAGAAGCATAAGAAAACTCAAAGAACTATTAAATCTCTCTTAAGTACAATGTACTAAAATACCTTACAAAATATCTTTTAAATGAAGGTCAGGCATACTTTTTATCATTATGTAGGAGTGAATACTATATCTTGAATATGAGACAAAAACAGACAAAAGTTTTCTCATCCTTCTGTCTAAATCCTCTAGAAGTTAATTATCTGTTTGTTCATTACTTTTATGGCAGGTCTAAGAAGAATTGAGCAAGAGCTTTATTGGCTATAATTAACAGATAACTTCTGGATTACAAAAAGTTTTCCAACCTTGAAAGGTACAATTAGATAAGGTTTGTTGATTACTAAAGATTATTCAGAACATTTACACTGAACTATAACCTTTTTATTTTCTTATTGTCATTATTTTTTCTGGTAACTTGTAATTTATTGGTAATTACATAAATGGTATCAATTTTATCGCACAAGATGCACATTTTGACAATTTATGCCCAAGGCCAAAATATTTGATAACCTAACACCCAAAAATACAAATGTTAAAGAGCTAACCAAAGAGGACCTACGGTATAGCCAAATCTGGACAAGGAACCAGGCAGATATATTCCTGAATTCAAAATAATTATTGAACAATGTTATTGTTTTAACAGTTTTAACATGTTCATCTTTCATTTTCATAATCATGATGAGTTCTTACTTTGACCATGTATCTTCTTTTACTTATTTCATTTTTATGTAGAAACATATTTGTCACACCTTGGCACTTAGCCAAGTGACGAAGTCCAGAGCTTATTTACCAGAAAAGCTGGTCCAGACAGAACAGACAACTAGAGGCTATAATTTTAATAAAGACCTTCAAGCTGAAAATCAATAGTTCAACCTCGCCAAATATTCTTGCCCCTGTCTCAAGTCTGGAACTTTATCAGTGGTTATATCTTGTTTTGGTTTTTTGGAGAATTTGATGCTGATTGGAGATCTTTGGTAGATTCTGTTTAATCTATTCACATCTTTTTAGACCAAAATATAGAGTTTTACATATTAGAAATACACAAGTCTTTTATTGAAGACTGTATCTATGTATTGATGTTTTATTGACGTTCACCCTACATCTCCTTTAATCACATATATGACTGATTGATTGTTGGTGTTTAACGCCACTTTTAAGTGCCACATTTGGGCTATTTCGTGGCGGCCAGTTTTTATTGATGGAGGAAGCTGGAGTGCCCAGAGAAAACCACTGACCTGCGATAGGAAAACTGACAATCCTAGTCAATTAAGATTGGATTCAAGTGCACCTGCACGAGCGAGGTTCTAACTCACAACCTCAGTGTTGACTGGCTAGTGATTACAGTAGTAGAACTACTTAGACCACTTAGCCACCGAGGCCCCCTTATTCACATATAAAATGTCCTAAGCCTTAAAAAGTGGTGAATAATTTAAAAGAGACTAATTGACAGATCACTCAAAAACATCAAATTCCCCATATCACAAAAATCATGAAATAATATTTAAAAGATACAACAAAATACAGCCACCGACTTACAGGCACATGAACATGTGTCAGGTTTATAACAGTCATTCTAGATCTTAACACTGCTTTACTGTTGATCTTCATCAGTGGAATAACAATATCTTTATAAAATACACTAAAAATCAGTACAAAAAAGCACTTATCTCTATAATAATAGTGGGAAAGTTTGCCCCTAGGACCCACACAAACCATTAGCCATCTTTTTCTAAGTATTTTTCTTCATTACAACAATAATAAACATTGTAATATTTGCAGTCACATTTTGTGATTTTTTTATTTGTTGATGAGTTCTTATACAGCATGATTATACAGCCAATTGTTTTTCTTTTTCAATATGAAAACTCTATATTTGTTATGTCAGGTTATTGCTAGCAGCTGCATTGATGTCCAGTAGTCAGACAATCAATGCATAAGTGTGGTCCTTAATACTTAATAATTCATTTTCTTCCAGTGAGAATGATAAAAGTTAAGAGCTAAATCAGAATAGCAACTAACTTTAAAATAGATTTGATGATTAGTTCAGAGCAGTTCAGATGGTATACAGGACATTTATTACCATCAAATGACAGCTTCTGAGTGATTCCAAACTCATCAAAGTACTGCTGTGTCACAATCAAGGTACATGAGAAACAGAGAAAAAGTATAAGGTGTTTGACTTTAGGGTGAGTTACCCTAAAATAGATAACACAAGAGTACACACTGAAATGTCTTGCCTGTTTCACTGATAAGGATTAAATTTATGTTGAAAATCTTTAAGATAAAGGTTTAAATTAACTACAAATATCACATAAACTTGACATAGCCAATTGTCCATGTAGATGAAATAAAGGTCAGATGTCAACCTTGCCAGACAGACAAGTAATCTTTAGGCATCATTCCATACACAAACTATATTTATCCAATTGCTTATTATTATCTGTGAACTGAACCTAACCAAGACAAGAGTGCACATGCTGAAATGTCTCGCCTGCTTTACTCACCATTGATTTTATGTTGGTAGTCCTAAATATGTAGTTTTACTACAAGTATCCCATAAACTTAACATGATCCAAGAAAATGAGGTCAGTATCAAATAAACCAAACCGGAAATACATGTACACCTTACAATCATTCCATACACCAAATATAGTTGACCTATTGCTTATAGTTTCTAAAAAACAAACTTAACCATGAAAACTTAACACTGACCAATAAACCATGAAAATGAGGTCAAGGTCAGATGATACCTGCCAGACAGACAAAAACACCTTACAATCATTCCATACAACAAATATAGTTGACCTATTGCTTACAGTATAAGAAAAACAGACCAAAACACAAAAACTGAACAATGAGCAATGAACCGTGAAAAATGAGGCCAAGGTCAAATAAAAGCCTGCCAGACTGAAATGTACATCATAAAATTTGTTCATGCACCAAAAATAGTTGACCTATTGCATATATATATATATAGTATTAGAAAAACAGACCAAAACACAAAAACTTAACTTTAACCACTGAACCATGAAAATGAGATCAAGGTAAGATAACATCTGCCAGTTGGACATGTACACCTTACAATCATTCCATACCCCAAATATAGTAGACCTATTGCTTATAGTATCTGATATATGGACTTGACCACAAAAACTTGTTACCTCTGGCCTTTGTTAGCCTTGTATGTAATTTTGGTTCATTTATATGTTTCAGAGTTTAGTGTGACACCCATTTTCGCTGAACTAGTACACATTTTTGTTTAGGGGCCAGCTGAAACTCGCCTCTGGGTCAGGCCTCTACAATAACTTTTTTTTCAACTTGTCCAATAGGACAAGTACATACCAAAACTTACTTGTCCGAATGGAATTGTAACTTGTCTAAAAAAAAACTTTATATTAAACTTTTTTGCATTTTAGGTTGATTCAATGAACAAACTGAATTAAAACAATAGAAAAGAATTTCATTTAAATCTCTTGATATCCTTTTGAAAAACAGAGAGTCGAGAACAACTGAATCTAGTCATGTCTAGTCACAGGACTTAGGTTCTAGTGTTCATCAATGCCAAAGTCTCATCAGGCTCTGCATTCCAGGCACAGTCTGGTAGGCCTGTCAGTCTACATTCATTTGGTTTATATCCTG